CTGCACAGACGAAGTCAACACCAATCGAAGATCGTCACCAGATTAATTTGAGGAGGATCAATAAAATGTGACGCGCAACGTTGACATTGATCTATCATCTGAAAGAGTGCTGTTCTGATCTGCATAAATAAGCCCTTAATGTTGTGTTTTCTCAAACAAAATATAAGATGATTCACACAAACAGCAAGAGACTGTATTTTAGGGAATGAGGATCGATGAGCCTGTGAACCAGACTGAGAAGCGCTGATTTCCTTAGAGCTCAATTATCGCTGAGATTCATAAGTTTCCATCGTGCAGCGAACCTGTTGGAACGACACCGTGCCAAAATCGTGTGAAACGGGTTGGCGTTTGACAGTAATATAGTTTCAATGAGGAAACAGAATATGCTGCAAACAGTCATCACGGTGGTCGTCGCTAAGTAACCGCATTGCAACTCCTCAGACCCGCGATTACCTTAATGAGGTTTCGCAAAAGGCAACATATCACTTAAAATCGGTTGCAGATTCTCAGATGGGAAGTGACATTATAAAGTCGGCATTTCAGTCTCGCTCACACGCAAGTTTCCACCGGGCTGTTCAGTAACGCATTAATAGTTATACGTCCAGACGACTGACGGAATTACCAAATATGAGGTTGCTTGACTCCAAGCCAGCCCTGCGCATCACGTCGCTCACGGCTTCGAGCGTGTCCATCTTTAAAACCGCCTCCTGTGTCGTGTTCGCCCCCAATACTTCGAGAATGCTAGGCTTCTTGACCACGGCTTGGGCCATATCTTCAGGGAGTTCAGGAATCAAGCCTGGAACGAGAAAGTTATCCGCCACATTTGCAGCAGCTCGCGTACAGCCAACTACTCATACCTGTTGTTTCAGGGATTTTGTCGGTGCTACTCACGGTGTACATATGAACTTCGTGATTCACCGCTGGAGCGTGCTGCTCCGGACTTTGATCTGCACCGATCATGGTTTTGACGACCGAAACGTAGCGTTCCGTGGAAGACTCGTTCGTACTCTTGGACTCTAACTTGCCTAAACGAGAAAATGGTTTCGCGGAAGTTTACGGTATTATGGTCAGGATCGGTTACGTTCAAAGGAAGGTTTGGTTTCAAGCGAATCTTCCTCGTAATTGAGGGTCGGGGAGGAGGAATCAGTCTGAACAGCTGATAATTTCGATGCATCCAAATCTTTGTCAGAAATTCGTGCAGCAGAATTTGCAAGAAGACCTGTGTCGGGCGAAATGACGACTCCAGCGTTCTCGAATTTTCCCGTGTGATATACCGTAATGTCTTCTCCATTGCAGTAGTTTTCCGTTGTCCCTTTACCGGCATCCTGCTGGTTGTCGTCGGCTGCACTGGCGTCGTGCAGGGCCGAAGAGGCCAGCGTACTGAGGACTGTCTGGCCTCTCGACTCGAAGCTGCCATTGAAATCCGAGCATTCATTCCCCTCGGCCTTCGACGACGCGAAACGATTCCTGAGCGTCTGCGAAGCATTCACTTCGTCTACGTATTCCGGTCCCTTCGACTGACCATCGGCCTTCTGGCCTTTCTGATCAGACGACAAATTCTTCTTTTCATGCCTTTCCAGCGAATTTGAATAAAGTTCTGTAAAAAAGCAAAATTTATTATTTTTCGAGAAAAATTTGCAAGCAATTGAAATGAGCAAAAAATGAAATGCGGGTACCAGTAGCGCAGTGGGTAGTAGTTACGATGGTGTAGTGGTGCCAGTGCGAGCAGTGTTTATGACCGTGCAGCGTGATAGGTGCAATTCACGGCTGCAATTCGTCTTAACTATTTGATAGATGACCAACAACCACCAAACGTGCAAACAATATTTAAAGGAAACAAATAAATAGAAAACAAACCGTTAAGCCTTTTCAACCTTATGAATCATCGACCCTGTTATTCGAAAGAACGGCTTCAACGTCTTAATCTTGGGTTAGTTCTATTACAAGACATCGGGAAAATTATCCTACGTTTCTCGCATTGCCTTTCTTGCTAGAACAGGAAAATTTAAAAATCTTGAAATAACGTAACGACCCCTGCATCGGAAACAGCTTCAATCCCTTAAACGAAAGGTGTTTTTATTACCAAGCATAACGAAACAAACTAAATTACAGCTGGGCATAATTTAAAATGTATCAATAAAATGCAGTAATTTAAATGTTACACAACTTTAAGTATGCCGAAATGAAAAGGATTTGAAAAATAAAGACGAAAATGCCAAAGCATAACCCCGAAAACCGCGAGACTTAGTAGTGGTAAGGCTGCTCGCACATATAATTGAACCAGTATCGCAAAAAAACTTCGTGTAAAGATTACGTATACCACGTTTCACAGCATGTGCCTTAAAACTTGCATTTACTATAAATTTTACAACATGGCTGGCCACGAAAATCGAGGTCTTTTTACCAATTGATTCCTGTGGTTATCGATTTTTAGATACTGTTCGGACAAACGGAATATCCTGCACAAATTTGCCCAGTTTCCGTTTATCTCTGACCATTTTTTGGCCAGTACCGGTTTGGCAGGTCATTCAGGTTGACAACAAACGTGAACTTTTGCCCCCTCCCAACCTTCATGCAGCGCAACAAATTGAGACAGGGCACTTGGTTGTGATGTTCTGGCAATGGAAAGATACCACTGACGAGTGGAAAACGGCACGACTGTCTCAGTCTACCGGAGTGGGCATACGCACCAATTCCAGACCTGTTGCCTAATGGAACAACAGTGACCAAGTGCTCCCCGTAAAGGTCTTCAAGAACGGGACTGAGATCACTGTTAGATTCATAATCAAGAAGATGGTTGTACCATTTCAAATGAGCTGCGTTAGAAAGCAGCTACCACTTTGTATAGCAATTTTACTTCTATAGATCGACAAAAGAATAATAATAACAGTAGTCCAAGCTTACAGCGTAAACCAACATTCGAACATGAACATATCGAGTACGTCCACAAGGAATTGGAAGACAAGTTGAAGAAGACTACGTACAAAAATATACGCAAAAACTTTAACGCACTGGTGGGTAAAGAAACTAACTACACGAAGGAATTTAAAGTAAAACACGGAAAAGACAAAAGAAATGAACATGCAGATCACTTCTCAACTTTCGATGAAACCAACCAATTCCACTTTATGAACACGTACACCGTTTTTCAAAAAAGCTCTAAAATGACAGTAGACATGGAGGAGCCTAGACGGAAAGTCTTTGAACCAAATCGACCATATACTGACTGACAAGAAATGAGTAATATCGAACGTGTTGGTCATAGCCGAAAATACCACCTGCACAGGGTCAGACCACAGGTTCTTATGTTCCACAGCGATGATCCACGTCGCTCGAAGGAACGCATCGAAAGAGCTTAAAGGCTCTCATTATGTGAAGAACAACGTTTCGAATCAGAACATTTCGCGGAGAAGCTAACCTTAATGAACTTTGATGAACATCGGCGAGAGCATAGATGCCTATTATGACTATTTTGTCAGTGCCAACAAGACTGGCGTTCAAACATCAAGTCTTGACAGCAAAGTCAATGAGGAAACAACGCATGTAATAACTAGAAGAGCCAAATTGAAGACCGAGAGAAAAATGAACAACATGTACACTCCATTGTGCGAAGAGGTGCGGAAGGAGTTGAGGGAAAACTACGGAAATTACAGAAGGTTACGGAGTGAAAGAAAGGCCTAAAAATGAACGAATGAAATATTAGCTTAAAAGAACGGATTCCGAGTGCACTAAAAGGATGAGGAGGAGCAGGAACTACTATCGCATGAACGCAATCGCTTAAGTATCCACAACTACATATACTCTTCTAAAGTAGGCTTGAATTGGAAGTTGCTTCAAGGTGCCCAGAAACAACGTCACCAGAGACGAAGTTCAGTGGAAACTCAGAAACAGGAACAATGGCGAATGCCTGGGAAAGGAGGATATGAGACCAGAATACCTTAACGTTTGAGGAATAATCCTATTTAAAGCACTTACCATTCGCTTAATGGAACACATCAGGCACAAGAAGAGGCCTATAGCGAGCAAGACGTCAAGAACGATTCGTCGCATGAAGAAAGGCCAATTCGAAAGCCTGAAAAATTATCTACCAATCACACTCACACTCCTCTCGCAAATCTACAGTCTCAACCCTATTCCGAACGACCTCGAATCAGCGACAAGTGGGGAAGAAGCCGGTTTTGGTACAAGGTTTTCTACCGTCGACCATACAAATGTCGTCCAACGTTTGGCGCAGAAGTATCAAATGCCAACCTGTTTTGCTTTTATCGGCTAATACAAGCCTGTCGATTCGGCAGAATTGGAGGCTGTATTCTACGCCCCCCTGCCCGAACCCCGTTGACATCAACTTGATCGATGATTCGAACATCGGTTACATTATCGAGCTGTTCTGCCAACCACGTCGTATCGCTACTCATCTAGGAATGTGCCAACGAGTTACCATCTTGCCATCGCTCTTCTCCGCACCTCAAAATCAATTCTCTACCAGCTAAAGTGACGTATGTATGTATGTATGTATGTATGTATGTATGTATGTATGTATGTATGTATGTATGTGTGAATGTATGTGTTATGTATGTATGTATGTATGTATGTATGTATGTATGTATGTATGTATGTATGTATGTACGTATGTATGTATGAGTATGTATGTATGTATGTATGTATGTATGTATGTATGTATGTCTGTATATATGTGTGTATGTATGTATGTGTGTATGTATGTATGTATGTATGTATGTATGTATGTATGTATGTATGTATGCATGTATGTATGTATGCATGCATGCATCCATGTATGCATGTATGTATGTATGTATGTATGTACGCATGTACAGGTTACAAACAGTGATTTGAAGAATAGCAGCTAACGCACTTGGTTTCTGAGGTCGACAGCAAGGTCCTTACGCGACACGATGAAGCTCCAACAAAAAATTCAGCAGTTACGAGAAGAATCTCTCACCATCAGTTTGGACTTTAACCTCTCCAAGGCGAAATGAATGCGGCATCGAAAACCCACTAGCATTTTTAGCAGTAGCTCTAGAATATCTAGGTCATTTATGGTGCTTGTTTTTTTCATACATCCTGAATATCAAAATTCAGTACGATCTCATTCGAGCAGTAAATCTTCAAATTTCAGCGTTCAATTCACACTTTCGACAGGGAGTCACGCCTATTTTCTACTGCCTTCTGAGTTTCTGAAAAATA